CAAAATAATTATTACAAGTCTAAATAAATTTAAAGCTCTATTTATAAGAAACTCAAGATTCTTAAAAAAAAATTAATTTTTTTAAAAAAAATTCCCAAGTTGAAAATAAAATATGGCTTCTTCAATAAAATATCAAGACCAATCGGCCATGCAATAAATTTGATTATCAAAGATTGGACCATTTTATATTCAAAAATAAATCAATCTAATGGCTTATTGGTTGAAACTACCCACATTTATGAAGGTACATCTAGTCTTTCATGTTTCTAGCTCATAAGCTTATTTAGAATCAACTATTCTAAGAAGAATACAACTATCACTACCTTGCATTGAAATAGATAATCATATAGAATATGAGATAGAAAAGCTCCTTGATTTTTGGTAAAGAAGAAGAAAGTTGGAATATTTTATTTATTGGTATGGCTACAATATTGATGAATAAATAAATAAATCAATAGAAAATCTAATGAATGTATCATAAAAGATACAAAAGTTTCATTAATGCTATCTTCAAAAATCTAAACCTATTTCAAGATGACTTCTTTATAAAGCTACTATTAAGATGTTGTATATAACAAAGAAAGTAGATATTAAATCTAATCTCTTTGTAGAATTCAAAATTAGAAAAAAAAAAAAAAAAAAATGATATTATAGATATTCAATAAGAAGATTTTTAAAATATTTTTAAAATATATTATATCAGATTCTAAAATATTCTAAAATATTCTCTAAATATTTTAATAAAATTTTCTAAAAATATCTCTAAAATATTTCAGAAGATTTTTAAAGATTCTTAAAATATTTTAATAGATTCTAAAAAAATTCAAAAATTAAAGAAGTTTGAGAAGCTTTCTAGGATTGCTTTATTTTGAAATAATATAGGAATTTCTTAAGAAGCTTCTTAAGATTGCTTCATCTTTAAGAAATATGAAAACTTCTCAAGAAACTTCTTCAAATTACTTCAACTTCAAGAAATATAGAAACTTTTCAAGAAGCTTCTTTATACCTAGTATATATTAGAGTTGGGACTTAGAAGATCCTCAATCTTGACAACATATTACTTAGTTTGCTATTCTTAGTGTTAACCTTATACTCATGTGATTAAATCAAATTCTTATTAGTTTCTTATTAAAACTCTTTTATTTGATTGTATATTTGGTATCTTACATAATTTATTTGTGACCACACCTTTGATGGATAAGGATTCACAACTTCTTTATGATTTGAATTTATTCCTAGAAGGATTATGAATCACATTTGAAAAAAGTGATTGAAAGAATAATAGAGACCAAGCTCTTATCTTTATAATAAGAAGCACGGTTAGCCTCTATATATGTTGCTAAATTCCAAAACCTTGCTTACAATGTGCATTGGAATTATAAAGTCGTTATCAATTTCAATATGGATTAAAAGATAATATCAAAGATTTTTTATTAATAATGTTGAAAGCAAATTCTTTAAAATAATTTATTACAATGCAAATTAATACAATATATTTTAAACCTCTCACTAAATGTGAATCATTTAAATGACTTACTTGGATATTTAATACAAAAACATATAATTATTATGCTTAAAATCACAATATATAGTGAGTAGTGTAGAAATCTTTAGGCAAATAGAAAATTAAAATATTAGTTGTAGAAATAGAATCTTAATAATTCTTGGATGCAATTATCTAAGTTGATTTGGCATTTATATCTATTGCTGAATATTAATGGTTAGATATTAAGATCAATATCTATTTTGGTCTTCTATCCATATGTATTACTTATAAAAAACTATAAATGTTAGTTAGTAGTTAAGAGAAGTATAAAAATGAACATGTCTTTTTGTTATTGAAATAAAAAATAGGATTTATAATTGATTTACATTCATTTTTATCACTATAAAAAATCACTAAGGTAGAAAAACATAGCATTAAATTAATATTAGTATTAAAAATAAATTATAAGAATTTTTAAATTTTATTTAGAATTGATTTAAGAAGTTTCAGAATAATTTTTAAGACTTTGGTAGAAATAAGTTTTACTATATTGGGAGCCATTATGAACAAATGGAGTAAGATTTGAAGGTTCCTAGGCTAATTGGATATATTTGAATGCCATAATAAAGTAAAAGATGCAAAATATTGATTCTCTTAGTAGAAAATAGGATGGCATAGTTGAATTTGCAACATGCAAATATTTTGCTTCTTCAAACAATGTCTATTATCTATGTTAAAAATTTTAAATCCCTGATTAATTCTAATAACTTCATCCTTTAATATTTAGAGATAGAATAATTAGTTAATTTAATAGAATCAATAAGAAATTCTATGGCATGTTTTCACTTATTTACATTAGGTTTATTAGTCATATATTTTATACCAATTGTATTTATAATGATACATGGTCCATCTTTTCAAAATGCAAATGTTTTGACAAAGGTGCTTAATATAAAAAATATTCTTAAAGGCTCTCTGATTCTATTAATCATATTAGCATGGCTTAAAGAATTTTAATGGCTTAAAGAATGTAAATAATTCTAATAAAATTCTTAAATTAAAACATTCTACTTATCTTATAGTCTATTTTGATTTTTGGCCTTAGACAAGTCTTAATAAGACCATCTTGTAGTTAAATTGACTAAACTATGTGCTTAGAGTTGAACATTACCAATCAAAGAGATATTTTGTGTCAATGTTGTAAAAGAATTATTATTTGTTTTGTATGGTAATTAATGAAAATAAAATTTCTTAAGCTTTATAAGATACTTAATAGCCACTTTTTTAGCCAATTGAATTTTTGTCAATATATAAATATTTGACCTTGATATATACTTGCAAAATGGCTATTAATTTGATGCCAATACCTTTAAATAAGTCTAATAAACAAAAGACTTGTTTAGAAGGTTGCATAGTGATTATTGTTGTTACTACTAAAGATGATTAATTTTTTTTAAGAATTGACTCTAACATTATTCCCTTCTTTGATTTTATGAGTTCAAAAAATTACACTTTTTTTCTCTAGAACACCAAAACAAATATAACCACAACTATACACAATCTAACTTATAGCAAAAAACATGCGGAAAGACTTGAAATCAATCTCTAAAAGATAGTTGACTTGTGTAGTGCTACCCCATCTTCTTTTGTCCTAAGCGTAATAGTGATTGCCGGAGATGGTGAGATAGATCTCAAAAAAATTGTAAGAAATATTTGAATGGTAACGATTCATCTTTCTAGACTTTTGATAAGATATCTTTAGCTTGTTGAAAGGATTTCTTTTAGAATTTTCAAATTGATGTTATTTTGTACACCTTAACAAATAGCACTTTTTTATCACTAAGTTGTTTATAAGCTAAAGACTTGATGAAATCAATTCATGAATAGATAATTTATCTAATTTTCATTACAAAGCCACTTTAATTTTAGTACAATATTCGTTGTTCTAAAAACTTCATTACAATTTTTAGAGTGGTACCAAATCCAAATATAATTCCTTGTACCTTGTATAATATCCCATATAAGTATAATTCTACATCTCTTTCACTCATATATAAGGTAGGATCTTTTTCAAATGAAATTTAGTAGAAAAAATCTCAAAAGATACAATAAAATTCTACAACAAAAAAATCAAATCATATATTAATACTATAGAAATGTATTATTCTATAAGAAAAGAAGTCACAACACTCTATTCTTTCAAAGGCTCAACTTAAAAAATACGAGCTTTAAGAGGTTTTGGAATAATTAAATATATAAGAACTTAAATAAAAGGTCAAGAATCTCAAAGACCTCCTTTCAAGAATTTTACTAGATTTAGAATGTAAATCTAATATTTATGGTGGCATTATTTCTTATGATGCATTTAAGCATAAATAATTATATTCTTGAATTCATTTATATCAAAAAGTACTTTGTTGCAATTTGAAACTAATACAACTTTATTACAAATTAATCTACACATTCTTCTTGAAATTTATTATATTTTCTATTTCTTTTTAAAAATCAAATTATATGTTTAAATATATTTTTCAACATTATTCTATTGTCCTTCTACATTTTATATTGCTATGTTTTATCTCCTTCACTTAATACTATTTTTACTAAATCTATCTTCAATTTTTACTTATAGAATATTTTCTATATTTCAACAAATATTCTATAAGATCTAATTCTAAAGAATAGAATCCATTCTATCCTATTATCATCTCTATATACAAACTAGAATTTGTTTCTAACTTGTTTAACTCAACTATTTAATTTTGCCTTCAACAACTTTGTTCTAATTATAGTAGTTGGCTTGTAATAATAGCCTAAAATTATCCATTGATATTTTTATGTAATATACTAATGATAAAATCTATTTAAAAATATTATGTTATTATAATTTTAGTTTATTATATTAATTATTACATAGATGATTTTAGTGGAAGAATGATATTTTTAAAAATATTTCAATTAGTTTTAAATATAAATATCAAAATAAAAATAATTAAAATAATTAATTATGTTCTCTTTGAATAACAAAGACTGAAGTTCTGAAATCATAGAAAAGCTGGAATATTAATATGGTAAGATGCTAACAAATGATAAAGAATAAAAATAGTATCTTATGCTCTATGAAAATAATAATAATAATAATAATAATGATAATAATAATAATGCTTCTTAAAAAAACTCCAAAAAAATATCAAATATCAAAAAAAAAAAAAAAAAAAACTCATAAATAAACTTGACAAATATATGTATAAAAATAAGAAATTTATAAATTCACAATTTTTAAAATTTTAAGTCTATTTTTGGTCTTTCTTTTTTTTCAAATTTGTGATTATTTACTATTAACAATTAAAATCTCATAAGTTATGTTTTTCTCGATTCAATAACATCTTTTAGATTTAAATAAATATTTTTTTACATTGACGTTGTAAACTTCATACATCTAACTTACAAGCCTTAAATTTTTGTTGTTCTTTCAAGCCACTATTTCTATTCTTGTATCATTTTTGTCTTTATATATATACATATATCATCTTATTCCAAAAACTTTTCTCATCAACTGTGTACAAAACTTTCCAATTGAACTAGATCTAATCAAACTATATTCAATTGGTCTAGTCTCATCTAACTGTCCAACCAACCCATGTATGAACGATATCGGATGCGTGTGTGGTTGGCGAGGCTCCTGCAGAGGTAACTAAGCCACATTATAATTGGCCATTGCTTCATTCAGGACTTCGCTACTGCAATACAATAATCAACGAATCTCCCGCACTTGCGCAGAGCTTTTATAATTCCACCGGCAAATTGGTGGAAGACTATTGAACAGCAACTTCGACTGGCACTTGAGCTAACCCTTTCGGCGCACGCGTCGCAACACTTTCTCAAGGCTCAGATACTCTGATCACCTAGCTGGGAAATTGAAGGTTGATCCACAATTTGTCGGGCTCTTCTTAAAAACCTCATTACATACATTGAAGCCTTCGCTTACTTCTGGGAATACTGTGCAAACTCTAACATTTACCTCATAGACAGCTCACTTTTGAGTCACTGCAATATAGAATGAAGCTTGCTCGAAGTGCGCTCAGGAGAAGGGATAAAGTTCGAGTTGCGACACCAGCACTCGACAACTTGGTTTTCACCTTCTTCCGTCCATCTCCTATAAGCCATGGCCTTCAACACTGAAAGTGCTTCCCGCTGATTTTCGGAACATTTGTTCAGGTTTTGCTTTCTTGTGCGCAATGGCTGCTCTTCAAAAAACAGCGTAGTTGCAGGAAGCACCAGGTTGCCTGGCAACAATGAACGGGGAGTACCAGGACTAACCGCTGGAATTAAATGGTCAAATTGTGCTGCTTCACACAGTCATCTGGGTTCAATGACAGATAAAGAGCAGTCCTCACTTATGGTTCCTTGCGATCGCACCCAGAAGTGCCAAGCGTGGTCTAATGAGGAAGCCACTTCCTTCATCTTAGGCCGGTCTTGCTTCTTGCGCTCCGTGCACCTCAGTGCAATTCGCACGATCTCTACCAACACATCGACACTCCATTCAGGTGTTTCAAGGGACTTTTCCAGAACGTCTTCCAAGGCATCATCCTCTTCATACTTGGTCGCCCAGTCCCGGATGTTTTCGTACTCGACCACTACCGGACGGCCACTGATCAACTCCAGGAGTACGATGCCAAAACTGTACACGTCGCTGGCGAAGGTCACTTGCCCGCTTGAGACAAATTCCGGGTCCAGGTATCCGAAAGTTCCCCCTATGCGACTCGCTATCAGATATGGGTCCTTGTCATCATTACTCCAAATTGACAGTCCAAAGTCTGAGACATGAGACTCCCATTCATGATCCAGCAAGATGTTGGCAGGTTTAACATCCCCATGATACGTCTTCGGCATGGCGTACTCGTGGAGATACTCCAGTCCCCTCGCAGCTCCCAAGGCAATTTTCAGCCTTCTCTCCCACCCAAGCTTCAACTCTGGATTCATGGGATGCAACCAGTCAGCGAGCGTCCCGTTCTCCATAAATTCGTAGACGAGAATAATCTCCTCCTTGCAGTAACCCAGCAATCGCACAAGTCGTTTGTGATTGAGCTTGGACAGGAGCTCCAGTTCTGTGGCAAAAGTGTCCCATGTGTCATGGGTGACGTCTCTGGTGGGTTTTTTTATCGCTACTGGGGTGCCATCTGAAAGTATACCCTTGAAGACCAGGCCATGGGCACCGCGACCGAGTTCGGCAGTACTGCTCCAGTTGTCTGTTGCAGCCGCAAGGTCCTCTTGTGTGTATTCCGTCAGGGTTTGCATTGCTTGGCTTGCCCAACCTAGAGAGTTGGCTCTCAACGACCTTCGCCTTGAGCTTGGTGATCGGACCCTACATACAGTACACATCTTTAGAGAACTGTTTCAGTGAGGTGGGAAAGTTTACAATCAGGTAGCATAGTTGATGATGTGAATAAAGTAAGCAAATGATACTTACGAGGATGAGAGAGGTGAAATAGCCTTGAACTCTATCTTCGAGTCTGAAAATAGTGGCGCACCGAGAGGAGGAATAGTTTCTCTCTCAATTTGTGACGTTTTCTTTTCACGGAACAGGAACAGGAGGGCAGCGAAGAATATAACCGAAAGTCCCACCCCAACCCCAATCCCACTAATCTGTGCAGGTGACAAAGAGCTCTTTCGGTCTGTTACCGAAGCCAAACAAAATCCGGAGCAGCTGCAAATACGTTGCTGGAAACTGGGGCCGCTCGCGACGGTAGCATGGCATAATGCATTTGGCGGTGCTGTACCAGTTGGGCATTGATTCGCCGTTGATAATCCAAACTGAAAAATTCGAACACTCGTCTCTCAGGTCTTTCTTACAAATCATATTACGATAAGCTGAAACATGACGCGAAGATGCAACCACATGAGGATCAGGAAAATAACTCACAGAACATGGAAGTCGCGGTGGCAAGAGGCCAGTCAGCAAGTCGGTGTTGCCACGTTGCAGTAATACAGATGTGAGGTCAGATAATGTAACGGGTCCTAGATCCTCGAGAAGGACGTCGACGCCTGCTACTCCGATGAGCGTGTAGTTGTCAACAAAGGCTGGATACACCACCGTAATCACTTTCCCCAGGCTTCCATTATCGTTGTAAGGCTTAGTCCAATACGGCATGTTCTTGGATGCGGTAAGCCGGACTCTTGCCAGTATACCAAAATAAGACCTCAGCGTCCAAAGAGGATTTTTGACAGTGGTGATTATCCTTTCGTAAGTTCCAAAGCAGTCACATGCCAAAGTTTTTAGCCGACTCGCTGCTGAAGGTGCCCGGTCGAAACTGTAAATCTGAAGCAAGGTGTTGAGGGAGCGGATGGAGGCAAAGACGCTCGTCGAATTGGCCGTGGTTCCCGAGTCCACAGGCATAATTTGACCATCGGTAATTGTCAATATAACCTGCACTTGCAACACATCTGCAACTTAAATTTAATTATAAAAAAACTTTACGAGTCAACATGTTCACAAACCTCAGATAAGCGTACAAATGGCATATTCAAAGTAGGAGTTTTTTGAGGTCATACCTTGAGCGCACTAGTGGCTGCAAACGTTTGATTTGCCAAAATAAATGCACTCGTCAGATTGGAGCTCCCCTGTGAAGCATCAGGGGATACACTATCTTGCAGTGCAGTTTTCAGCGATGAAATCCCATTTGCACCAACTGTTATCTGAGAAACATACATACAACCTATGTGACCACTTTAAGAAGCCTGGATATTGTTAGTATAGACAGTTACAGAAGAAGAAATGTATAGCCTCTCTGGATTGTCTAAATCTTCATAAGCTCACCCCTGGACTACTCATACTCTGAATACATGCTTACAGGCGAAAGGACGGTCCTTGCTCCCGAGTTAGTGAACGTGATGACCGTTACGCGATCGCCGTAAGCGAAAGTGTCCAGAAGCTCGTTCACAACAGACAACGAAGCATTCAACTTGGTTATGTCTGCAGAGTCCAATAAGTCGCCAGGAAGAAGATCACCCATCGTGTTTCCAGTGTCAAGAAGCACAATGACATCTTTCTTGATTGCAGTCACTCCCATGTACCTGAATCGCGTGGGCAGGGTTCCAATCAAAATTGCAAGATCCAGTAGGTGGTCCAATACGGTATGAGTATGCGGGCAGTGGTAAGCACAAAATGCATTCATGAGAAAACCATCGCTCCAGCACAAATTTCGGAAGTTCTAGCTAGACGACTTGCAATGTGTAAAGAAGCAAGTTCTTAGACAAAAGGGCGAAAGAGACAGAAGAATTAAAAAGCCGCGTTACAAAACTCTATATAGCTCGTCAGCAACATACAAGTTCAATGACGAAAGAAGACCTAGATTTCTTACCATGGCCGCTTCCGTGGTTCAAAAGTACATATATCCGGTGATACATCCTGCAAAACAAGATACCTTTCCAGTGTCAAGAAGCACAAATAGTAAAATAGCTTTCCAACGAGGGCTTCGGTTTCAAGACCTCTGCTGGCAGTACAGTAAATTGATTTCCAACACAGAGATGGGAGGACATACTCGACCCGGATAAGCTCGGTGGACGCCCTCCACAGAAGCGAAGTAACCCCAGAAAGTTGAATTCGGTTCGTTATGAGAAGAGGTATTTTTGAAAGTTGCGTCTAAGTTCCTTTGAGAGCAGATAGTGGTATTTGCCTCAACTATCAGACCGCTTATACCCGTCGATAACCTACGCAGTTCCCATGGATTAACACAAGTGTATGCAACGTCATGGACTTTCAAGACCTCCAATAAATGACTTCGAATCACAAAGAATTAGCTCCAAGGAATTTTCAGAGAACAGATCTTGATGAATGTTCCCTACATGTAATGTAACATTCAGATTAGTTGAGTGGTCATGAATGAAATGATACCTAACGAAGCTCTTTGCCATAGAAACACGAATGTTTCGGCACCCCAGATTGCCATCCACACTATAACAATGCGAATTATTGGTAACACGTTTGCACTCATAACCTTCGTCATCACCTTGCACTGGCAAACAAGCTTGCCTGGAGCAGTTCCCTTGACATGACGCCAATAATTCTGAGGAATAACAAATACCATGAGCTTGCTGAAAAACACGAAGTAATGTCCTATTCAAAACGCACTGCCATTGCAAAGCTCTTCTACAATACATATGACGCTAATCACAGCAAATCATACGAATGGATGTCCTTCACATCTGATAAACATTTTCTTTGCAAAAAATTTGTACTGAAGGATACGAAAGTAGGAACACTCACCGCACGATCTCATGAAGTTGGTCACAGAATTTTGTGAAATCTCCTTAACCTGGCTCTCAAAATTCTCAATGTACTTGACTGCGTCCATTCCAGTCTGGGCATGGCAAACATTACAGACGATTGCCAGCACAGCCACAAAGAAGCACAACGCTCGTACTTCTCCCATCTCAAAACGATGACTTGCTCTTGTGAAAGGAGTGCGTAAATAAGTTCCTGTAGAATCTCGAAGGAATTTAAAAAAAGTAATAAAGCACTTGAGACTTCCTTGTTGGTAGGAAGTGACCGATACCATCGTCCTTAGAACTTCCGCCAACAGATCTTTTTTCCCTTAAGTCTAGCATTATTGCACGCAATCTTAATTACTCTAAGTAACCAAGCGACAGAAAACTGTATGGAGGTTTATGGCAAGATGAAGTCCTTGGGTTAAGTCTGGAGCAAACCGATAATAAATAGCTCAGCTAATCAAGAACTTTAAGAATCGTTCTAGGGATCTCAGCAGTCTCTGTAAATGAGACTTCAAAGATCTGGAAAACGAATTCCACGAACACAAAATTTCAGCAATCAAAGAGAAATCTTGACCCCCGCCCTCCTTCCCTGCGAAGCTTAGAAACTAATTCTAGGCGATAAAAATGCAGCCTGGTTTCTGCTGTTCAACTTAGACCCTCAAGAACCCTCATAAGGCATCTATAATTTAATCAAAGCGTCACAGCCATCCCCAGTTTGTCAGCAACACGCTCCTCATCACTAGAATTGCGTCACTCTCCCAACACATTACTTTCCACTCGGTGGAAACCTCATAACTCCTCCAAAATCTCCCTCTCGTTGCCAGCTCCATCCAGCATCTCAGCACCCACAAGGCTCCACCCCCTCAACCGGACATCTACATTCCAAAATCCTTTCCTCTGTGCACAAGCAATAACAGTTTCTTCACGACGATTCTCCTCATGACAAGTTCCCACAACCTCCTCCCACCCGCTTCTGAAGATCTTGTCTAGTGTCATACCATTCAATGTAGCTCGAGGCGCATCAGGTCTCTTGGCGGAGATGAAAAGATCCTGCGACCCCGACTGCATGTGGGACACCTCGAAGCTCGCGCTCCTCTATTCATTCATCCCTTCAATCTTTCATTTATCATCACGTCCGCCTGCATCAGTATTCATCCCTTCCATGCTGCCGATCAACATTGACTTTGATGGGGTTGACTAGGCGGCTGAACTATGTAGATAGGATGGATGAATGAAGTCGTGGATGAAGGATGCCATGACCTAGAGGGGAAGAAACTTCTACACAAGTGCCACCAACTTGCGTAGAAACTAGTTTGGACATGTTTCGAGCTCGTGTAAAGTAAAGAAAAGTAAATTAATTTCTTTTCTTTACTTTACATTTTTTTTTGTTTTAAATACTATTGAAAATTTGTGTACAAAAAATCTACGAGGAATGAAAGTAAATAAATAAATAATGAGATGGAAGAACACTGTCATCCAAAACAAATCCATCTTTCCAGGTTTTAAATCATCACTACGAAGTTGTCACTTGCTAACTACAAAGATATAATGAATCTCAATTTTTTTTTTTTGATTTGTGTTTGTTGTTTTGCTTGGATTGAACGTTCCATTGTCTGCTATACAAAGATGTACTTTCTATCCAAAGAATGTGAAAGGAAAAAGAGGTGTCTATTGGATCTTGTTGATAGTAAAGAAAATGACAAAGATGTGGAATTAATTTAACACTGAGAATTGTAACTATTATAAAGTTTTTCTACAATGCACTTGCACAGATGCTCGAGCAAGTGCTGGAGTGAGATGGAACCACAGAGTGAACGGACAAATAAATTGAAGAAAATAATAATTAGTAATCTTGATTCAACGTGATTTTTGAAATATAAGCCATAATAATGTTTATAAAGTTAAAAATAAATAAAAAAAAACAAAAAATTTGATTATTTAGTGTGATTATGAATTGAATGAAGATTTTATATTTTTACATTAATAATAAAAAAATACTATAAAGGAATTATTCTATTATTGATATTAATATTTATTAAATTACAAGTATATTTCAATGCAATATGTATTTATTTCAATAGTTTGACAAACACCGACTTAAAATACTTTTTCAAGCATGTGTAATTTTTTTTAAATAAATATATTTCTCTTGATAATAAAAACTCATGTATTTTATTTTTATTTTTTATTAATAATAGATGTTCTACTAAATATCAAATTATATATCAAATTATCAAATAATGGTATTAGAATTTTAGAATTATTACATCTATTATATATATATATATATATATATATATATATATATAGATATTTTTTTTTCTTATCCGTAATATAAAAATCTAAATTAAAATGATACAGCAGATTGAAATTATATTTTTTCAAAAACACTCATAAAAGTGTAAGTAATTTTAGTTGAAACAAAAAAGTATGTTCTAAAGTTTTTTTTTCAACCTACAAAATTAAAAAGGTAAAAGAGTAGATATATGTAAATCTATTCTTTATAATTTTTCATCTAAGGTCAATAACATAGAAATTGAGGTTTTAAATATTAAATATTAAATTATTTATATTCTATATTAAATATTAAAATAATAAACTTGAATAATATAATATTTCAATAAAAATAAATAAAAAATTTCAACTATCAAAGAATATATTATGTAATCACAATAATATATTTTTTATTTATAGATTATTATATACTATTATGATTTTTCTATTAATAGAATTTAAATATATTTTATAAATAATACTATTAATAGATAAAAAAGACTTAGAGAGTCTTGAATTGATATTAAAATAAAAGAATGATACTAACAAGGCTAACAACATTCTCAAACTTACCTCTACATATATTAGCTACTAATAAAGCATTGTGAGAATGTGAGTGTAAAATTTACTCCTTAACCCAATTACAAGATGGCCTCAATTAAGAGTTGCTTGCAATAAGTGGTGTGAACTAAAAGTAGTAAGAATAAGAACAAAAGAAGCAAAACACAAAACAAGTGGAACAAGTGTAATGAAGCAATTGTATACTATAAAAGTAGTCACAATTTTTTTACTGAGTTCTTACTTAGTAAAAAATAAAAAATAAAAGAAAAAAATATATTTTTAGAAATTTAATTTCTTTATCTTTCCAATGGTATAAAAAACATATAAATCTAAGTTACTATGAGTAAATTATGAAGATTTAAAAAATAAAAAGTAAATATTTTTTTACCTCAAGGATAACTTACTTAAGAAATTAGGAATTCGAGCCTCACCAAGGCTCACAAGTAGTATATATGAATTATTAAGAGAGGCCACGAGACCTTAGACTTATCTTCTAAACTACCTTCAAGGTGCTACAATCCATATGGGACTTGTGCACCTCCCTTTTTACAAGGACTATATTAGCTGTTGGTCCTCCTATTTTCTTCTAGTAAAATCAATATTTTTGCATTTTTGACTTCTTCATGGTGTTTAAAAACACCCAATTAGCCTTAGAACCTTTTGTGGCCTTCAATTCTTATTCCATTTCTTCATAATAGCTCCCGAAGTGATAAAACTCATTTTTATCACAGTCTTAGAAATTGCTCTATAAATTCTTAATTTTTTAAAAATAAATTTTAAATAAAGTCTAAAAATTTATATATTGATTCTATAATTTTAATAATATTTTAAGGCTATAATTTCATATCTTGATGATTTTTTACAATAATAAAATCAATTTAAATCCACTATAAATCTTACTTTTTATATAAAGAATTAAAAAGACACGAGGTTCTTTTTCATGCTTCTTCTAATTACTAACTAATATTTATAGCTTTATATATATATATATATATATATAGATAAAAGATCAATATAAATATTGATCTTAATAACTAATACTCACTATTCAACAATAAATAAAAATTATAAATCAACTAAAATAATTGCCTCCAAGACTTACTAAGACTCCAATTCTATAACTAACATTCTAATTTTTTATTTTTTAAAATATTTCTATACTATTCACCATATATTATAATTCTAAGCACTCTAAATTCATCTTTTTATCCTAAAATAATTAGTGAGTTGATTTGATGACTCACACATAGTAATCATCTAGGACGATTTACAAAGAAGAAGAAACTAGAATTGATTGTATAAAATCTACTACTTAAAAAGAAACATAGCTATAGAAGCTATCATTTTTTTTAAGATTAGAGTGAGTAAGCTATTACTATTTAATATTTCAACTAAGTTGGATTGATCTAATTCTCTACCCAAGAAAAACAAAGGACTTAAAATCTATTATGACTAAGATTTTTAAAGACAAGAAAATACTAGAAAAATTTAAAAATTAATATTCTAAAATCTTCTCCAACTTAAGAAGAGCATGACATCTACCTTGTAAGGCTTATATATCCTTTGGTTGTTTATTTTTGGTCTTTCCTACACTGACACTAACTCATTATAATAGCTTATTTTTTCCAACTGAGTTCAAATTCGAGACCTTTCATTAACAATTCCTTACTTAAATAACAATTCTATAATCCTTATATGATTAAATAAGACTTAACTACTACTTTTTAACACTCCATTTTTTTTTGAAGAACTAAATTGAATAAAAGTCAAAATGAATGAATATATTAATGCTAGACTTCAATCTTAGAGTTTTAGTTTTCTAAATTCTACTCAATTTTGATGATTTGCCACTTAAAGAGTGAAATCAAAGTAATTTTAAGGATGAACCATTTGATCACGTATATGATAAAAATCACATTGTATATTTTTTACTTCTATTTTTTGAAGTTCTAGTAGGAAAATCTTCTTCGTTGAAAATTTGTAACCAAACTGAATTAATTGGAAAGACTTATTTAACCATATACAATCCCAACCATATAGTATCAAATTTTTCTTGGAAAATCTAATCTCTTAGCATCTTGTAAAATGACCAATATACTAGGCTTAAGGATTTTAACCTTGTGTCATTTGTCAAAAGATTTTTTTTTTCTTCTTGGTATAGTTTTAATTAATTAGAATCCCACTTTAATTAGTTTTAAATCTTCATTTTTTAAAGTTAAATCCATTAATTTGTAATCAAGGTCAAGAAAATGAGTTTTTTCGATAGATTTTCTATAACAATCATTTGGTATTTGTAGATAGATAGCTACATCATTTTCAATCATAAGACCACTAAAAGTTTGTTTAAATTCTAAAGGTGGAATAAGATTGCCCTCCTCTATTAAGTCATTTAATTCATGAACTTTAATATTGTCAAAGTTCATCTCAACAACATCTTTTAATTTGATGTTGTCTATCCATGTAGCTAACTTAATATCTGCTTCATTGTTTTGTAAAGTAGCAAAACCATCTATATAGTTAACATGCATCGCTTCATTTGTACTAAATATAGGATGACTTGTCAACCATTGAGTGAATTCTCTATCATCCTTCCAATCGTATAGTCCTAGGCCCATGCAACTTAATAAAGTAGTTTGGACCATATTAAAATGAACCAATTTCTTTCGCCCCAAATTGACAAACCTCACTTTTTTTTTGAATTCCTTCTTAGGTTGTGAAATTTGATCTTTTTCTTTTGAAGAATTAGGTGAAGTTTTTTCCAATAATAATCTTTGGAATTGAATGAAGATTTTCGTGAGGTTTTTTGATGGACCATAAATAATATGGGACTTTTTACCACCTCAATCAATTTTGCCACTTGTTGCCCTTAACTATGGTCTACTTAAAAGCAATAGATGTAAATTTTTGCTAAGATGCATATAAATCACATGAAAAGTGAGGGAATACTCCTCACCATTTGTTATCACTCTATAACCATTAATCTGGTTCAAAAAAGTATCTTGGTTTTAATTAGCTATATTAATTACATAAGATGAAAGGCTAGTTATACTAAGGTCCAACTTCTCTATTGTTTGTATGGGCATTATATTTAATCCACTACCTCCATCTATGATTGTGTAGGGAATAATCTTGTCAACTATTGAGACTTCTAATTCAATTGCTTTGACTTCTTGTGCCCCTTAAATCATTCTTATATAGGCTTGGATTTTTTTCTTAGATCTTTGATGTCTTTTAATAGGCATGCTTGTTTTAAAAACTCTTTTTATTTTTGGAGATATCTCCAACAATTGAGCAATGATTATATCTGCCTTGATTTTTTTCAAGTCTTCCTACAAACCATAAGACTCCTTTTGATCATCTTTTTTAAAGGATATCGGAATATCATATTCTGGTTTTGGAACCCTAAGATCTTTTCACTCTTTCGTAGAAGGAAATTCTTCTATAAGGATTTTCTCCTTTATTATCTTGGCAAACCGAGATCTAAGAGATCTAAGAATTCTCATTCTAATTCAAAGTGTCATTCTACATATTCTTCGAAGACGTCAACTGTCGGAGGAATGCGCCAAAGGTACTCACATTTCGTTCTGCCACTTTTCGAACAACTTAACGAAGAATCAAATCCCAACGTTTGATGACAGATGTGCTCAGATTTCGGTGACGAGAGAGGATGTTCTGATCATCTTCAAGGAGTAGCACTGATGGGCCTCGCAAGGTCATAAATCAGTGGGACGACACTCACATAAAGCATTCAACTCTCAAGGATCCATAGAAGGCTTGAGATTGTTTCGAAGCTGCAGAGGTTTTGAATGAGTCTCTCTAAAGTTTTCCGATGTTTACAAACAATGTCACCGTCTGTACAAACTCAGTTACTGCCTACAAAAATTGCGCTCTGGCATTATACTACGCTTTCACCCAACTTACTCCTAGGAAAATTTGATTTCCACAAATCTGATAATCAATGAATTTGTCATCATGTGCTTTGGTCCTTGTTGCGTCGAGTCTGGGCGCTATGTGCAGAAATGGAACCGCCTGTTCACGCTCGGTGCGAAGTCGGAGTAGTCGATGGTGTATGCTGCACCGCTGATATCTTTCGGGAACAGGTACCGAAATGCGAAGCTGTAAGGGGCCACGGAGAATGTCGCGGAGTTGAACAGCCGACGGCGGTGGCGGAGCTGGATACATTCCTGGATAACGGCCACTTGCGCAATGGGCAGAAATCGGCATACCCATTCGAGCACCATGTCATCTTCAACGAATTCTCGGGCGTAGTTGTAGACGAGCTTGGGAACCAGAACCCGGCCCTTAGCGGTCATACCCACGGTGGCGCGTAAGTAGTCCTGGAACGCGCAATCGAGCTCGTCGTGGATGTGCGCTGGAGTGTAGATGCGCACCATGGGAGACGAGTGTCCACCGCAAGAAAGGGCGAAGTTGACCTTCGGCTCGGCACGGTCAATTCCGAATTGGCTCTGCTCATCAGTCAATTTCTTGTTGTGAAGCGCCATTATCAACGCAAACTGTGGTCGATGTAGCATGATTTTGGCCTTGAGGAGATTGCACTCTATGGCAGCAGCGTTGAACCAATATCCACCGACGCAGTATGCTGCCTTTTGCATGAGGGTGAAGAACTTGAGGTCACTTCTCGGAATTCCATAGGCAAGGAAGGCGTGCAAGAGAAGTGCATTGTAGAGATTGATCCAGAACGCCAGCTTTTGCTCGTGCGTCATGGTCGCGGGATCGATTTTTGCTAGTCGTTCCACCAATAATCTGCACAGCCACCAATATCGGTTAGAAACATGAAAATGGATTCGCGAGTGCATTCCTGAAAACATAAGCATTGCATTTTCACTAAACTGGTGTATGATGAAAACTTGACAATACTCACCGAAATCTTCCAAGGCTATGCGCGACGAATTCAAGATGGTCTTTCCCAACAGACAGCCATGGCACCTCATTAGCGTCCATGTAAGGACCAATGTTAGCCCACGGCAGTTTCCCCATTGCCTTGTATGGATCAGGAGTCGACTCGCATCCCATTACATCGCCATGTTGCTTGGAGTCTAATTCGGGGCTTTGAGCACCGGGAGGGAGGGATGAGTCCGAATTAGAAGAATAAGATGATGACGTTGAGAGACGCCCGGTGTGGGAGGATGGCGACAGAGGACACTCAGGGAAAGCATAGGATTCGCCAGTCGGCTCCGCCAAGTGACAGTAAATATCCACCATGCACCGCACCATCTCCTCCGACAGGCGGTTAGCATCAGATGGCAGCGAAGGAAACAATCCATCTTCTACCGATGTGCTCGGGCGAGGAGACTCCTTGAAAGATTTCCTCGGGCTCACCACAGAGAAATCGCTCTCAGAGAAATTGGAGGCGCGCCGTGCTGAACAGATTGCATCGTCGTGAGAAGAAACACGAGATTGGCTTTGTCGCTTTAATCCCCGAATTCGCCGAAGCTTGGGCATCTTAACATGATCGGTGAAGTCGTCGTCAAGAATAGAGGAGCAATCATGATGCAAAGACTCGGTGTGCGGCTCGGCGTCAGGAGTGGGATTTGCAGACCGATTGTTGAGGGAGGCCGCATCATCGGATGAGTTGAAATAGTTCCAGAAGGCGAGTCGATTGGAAGAACCAAGAAGCTTGGCAGGATTCGATGATTTGCGAGGAAGATCATTCGGTAAGCATGCAGGGGTTACAGGCGTGACATTGCGCGGTCGTTCCGCCAGTGTGTGAGGAGAGGGAGAGGTGGAGAGGTGTAAACTGGATGGCATAACTGCTGCAGATGAAGGAAAAGTCGTCAGCTCCACTGCAGACTGCAGGCGATTCCTCTCCAATGTGTGAACATTATCCGTGTTGGGAAGAAAAGACGTTGCAGGATGATCCTCCAGGGCGCTCCACAAGTCACGCAAACTACGCCGAGGGGAATTCGGTGGGGGTGAAGACTGCAGTTCAGGTTCCGACGTAGGTTTCTGCAGAAGTTCCTTCAATGTTGAACCTGATGAAGATCTCCCAGCCCCCTGTGGTGACTTCGTTGATCGTCGTGACGTTTTCTTTAACGAAACCGGTGTCAATAGTGGCGATGCTGGTGGCGAGATGGGAGCAGAGTCCTTCACTCGAGATCGTACAGACATGTTGAGAAGCGTGTCTAAGACGTGCTCAATCCCTTCACGCTCCGTCCGTTCCCGCCCAAGTTCACACTGAAGAAAAGATGCTTTCGTCTCTAGCCTCAAAACTGCATCTTCCAGCAATGCAATGTCCGTCAGCAACCTCTGAACATTCTTGGGAAGGTCATGCGAAGCGTAATCAGGAAACCGCGGGCTGGATGTGGACGAGAGCGCATTCTCCAAAGCACTGTGAAGCTTGATTTCTTTCTCCAGTTGATGGTGCAACTCGAACACTTCATTTTCAAGTTCAGTGCGCTGAGCGATCTTCTTACAGGTATTGCTTTTCACAAGCCTACGCAGCGACGCTTCTTGCATTCCATCCTCCGACTGCTGCGACTTGTTGATGTAACTCTCCATGAGACGAAGCTCTGATGAGGAAACACCACCTTTACATTTCTTATGGATTTTCTCCTTGATAGAAAGCCTGGCAATTCCATCATAAACAGAAGCTTCGGATTCAGCACCTCCACTCACTGTTTCTGAAAGTAAAAACTACCGACGTTTCCAGCAAATTTCCTATTGGAAACAAGTCATGTTTGATATACAGTAAGGGAGGTAAAAGACTTGCAGCATCGGAGTTTCTGACTCAATTTGAGTAACAGGAGATGTTCAAGGTAATGACAGACTGAAAAGTCGAAAGAAGCTCAGGGTGTAGACCATCGCATACCGGGAGATTGGTCTTACAGTCACCAACGGTTTGGGAAACTGCAGTTCATCAAAGTCAGATTGAAGAAACGCAAATTCTCTGCCTTGCATTGCCATTTCTACTTTGCACGCCGCACCTGAGCGGGAGCCCTGCTCCTGCCAAGGATCGCCAATGTATCCAACTTGACTTCGAACAACCATAATGGGCTCCACCCCAATCTGGCCTAACACATTATTGACCAAACGTCCATACCTTGGCCGATTTCTAACTCAGTTCACATTAACAACCCAGTAGTTGCGCCTGTGTGATGTAGTCCACACTGCCTTCCAATGGACTTGATCTTGTTCCTACTTCCGTTTGAGAACCTTCAAAAACCGCACGGTGTTCAAGCACGTCCTCGGAAGCAAGATTCTTTCTGGCAATCTGCACTAGACGAGTAGCGAGGCGTGCAGTAAGCTTCCACCCAAGACAACTATTGAATGGGATCCTACAGGACGAAGAGAAAACTTTGACAGTCGCTGGACATCGCCTTCACCATATGAACTGGCTCCTCTCCACTACACTGAGAGCCCTCCTCCGCTGTCGCATCCCAGCAATCGCTCAGAAATCCCCCACATAAATCACACTCCCACCGTAGGGGTCGGCCTGCCTAAATTGCCCACGTGGAGATCGGCCCCAACCTCTAAAACTAAATCCCGTTGCCTATCAACGACAGCTGCTCACCTTGGCTAGCCCCAACTTCTGATGAGATGTACCTCAGAGCCATGTTTCTCGGGTACTTTTCACTCTACTTTTGCAGAGCGCAACGTCCTTTACGCAGAGCTTCAGCAAAAGCCAGGACGCCCCATCACCGATGCCTCCTAAACGCGCCTTGCGCCCCCAAAAGCCTTAGGATCTGCGAGACGAAACGGCGAAGCTATCTTTTACACCGAGGGGCACTGTCACTGCCAAGGTGTGTTGCCAATAAAGTCTCTCCTCACTTTCGCACAATCTTCTTTCTTCGCCGTCCACTCTCTTCTTTCTCCCTCTCGACCCAGTTTTCCCGCGATGGGCGATTGCAGCGAAGGTGATGCATGGATGTCAACGGGGTTTTTTTTCTCTGTGGTGGTGCTTGCATTGGAGACGGGCCTGACATGGTGAATTTGCATGGGAGATCGACGTCGACGTAAAGGACTGCACGCTCAAAATACGGCGCTGCGACTCACGAGAAACAGAATGGGGCATCGCCCTGCATGGAATCCCCGATGATACACTGGTCCACCTTTTTCAATGCCTTTTCGCTGCTCTTCTTCTTCTTCTTACTTTTGCCTTATTTTTTGCGTCTCGGCTGGTCCAAATTTTACCAACTCTCTGTGGCATGCTAAACTACCGTTTTGCAAGCACCAAAACAGTTTTTTTCAGGCGTATGCTATTGCGAGTCTGTTCTGAAGCACAAGATCAAGCATAAAGGAGTGCGTAGAAATAAGACCATCCTTTGTCATTGGCTAGGGCTGCAAAATAAAGAGAGAAGGACTCAGGTTCAACACAGATTTGGCTGTAAGTCGTATGTGACTAAGGTGTAAGGCATCTCAACAACAATGTTAAGTTTAAGGCGAGATGTTGATGACCATTAAAGTAGGAGTGGGAAACTTTATTCTTGCTAATAGTAGATTTGTGAGATACAGTGCAGTAGAAGCCTTGGCATATCTGGAAAATATCTATGGAAGTGTAGAATAAACGTATTCAATGTTACACTTACCATGAAGAATTTATAGAATATTATTATGTTATTGTTAATTTTTTTTTTTTGTATGTCTTAGAATAATTACTAATTTGGCACTTACTCAAAACAAAACAAAAACAAGAATATTCTCATTATATGATATTCAACAACAAAACAATATTAATATTTTTTATTATTAAATATGGATAGAATAATTATATTTAAAAAATCAATTGGTTTGTTGCAAAAGTTAATATATTATTCTCAAATATTAGAAGACTATATGAAATTTATTTTAACATGTTAATAGATTTTATAAATTAGGTAAAGATAAGTTTTTTAGATTAAAAAACGAAGCTTATGTAAAAAATCTCTAAAATAATGGCAATAGCTTTTAAATCTTACGAAAATAATAATTATAAATAATAAGTTGTGTGTTATTGATGTAAGAATAATTATAATATAAAAGTGCTTTATTTGTTTGATCTTCATATCCCCTATTCTATTCTGAAGTCTTTAGACACAACTTAAACCTCAAATTCAATTGTTTCTCATAACCTCAAACTAAAATATGTTCACATGTAAGTATTTATAGTGTCAATGTGTAATTTTACAAATTCATTTCATCCTTGTGAAACCTTATTTCAAACCTAGATTGACAACATTGAGGTTGAGGATACATTTACCAGTCGAACTTGCATAATTCAATCATACAAAACAAGTGAAATTCATCACAATCAACAGTCCAAACTTTTTATGCTCATAAATATTTTAATAATATTCTCCTAGGAAGATCCGAATGTCGAAGAATATGTAAAAAGCAAAAAGTATGTCAGAGAAGATACCTTTTTCATTGAATTGTAAAAGTATGCAACAATTCGAACACACATGTTCAGTGTCTGCATTCTAATTATCCCAAAACTTCATTCATCTAATGTCACATTCATCCGAGATATATGTCTCATCCATCCGTTGCACCACCACCCCCTCCTCAAATCCCATCCGTTGTCCCCGCCCCTGCATTCCACTTGGCACACATCTAACGATGTGATGTGGATGCATACCCTCCGCACACGAGAAATCACGACAAGCTTGACACCATTGGTTTGTTTATTTACAGTTAATTTCCAAAAAAATTTGCAATTAGAGTGATGGAATTTCATTGCCCACCAAAAGCCGATATTGTTGTGAGCCTGGACGTTGTCAAGCATAAGAATATTGAAAGGGCGACGGATAAATTAAGGACACTTTAGTTGGTTGGGTGGTCATTAATTTGCTTTAGTTGGGACAAAGCTCCGATTTTGTAATGTATCGACCAATAATCACACGACAGACGTTCGAAATACACTCGGGTAATGCAAAATAAATTGAATGAAGAAACGAAACGAAACAAATGTGTACAGGAATCAAACCCTTCCACCTGATTTTCTCCGTATGAGATTTTGGTGCACACTGGTCGACACAACTCTCATGTTCGTGTGATGCTCTTCCAAATGCTCTTCCAATTGTGACTAAGTAAAGGGCTCCGCTTGAAAAAGACGTACACTCACACATTACACGGATTGTCAATGATTGTCAGCGTTTTCATGTTAGCTCGAAACTGCGTGGATGTAACACCAATCATGCTCCGGAATTAGTTCTGCTAGATTAGTTCGAATACCTGTCTTCCTCGGAGGTTGGGACTTCCTAGCACAGAGCAGGGAGCGCGAAGATTAGTGATCTGTTCTGGTCCCATCTCAGGATTTACTGGCGGGTGGCATTTCTCTATTTCCCCTCATCTACGTTCTTCTTTGATGATCACATTCAAAGCATGATCATCAAGTAACTTTCTTGTTTATTCTTAGTCTTAAAGGGTTGCAGCTTACTATGTAAAAAGGACCCAGAGCATTGCATAGTAAACTGGTGTAAAAAGTTAGTTTGGGGTTTCGAGCCCAACAATATTGCAAAGTAAGTAGTAGCTGCGTACAGATGCCGAGGCCGCAAAGTCTCCTCTCGATTCCACGAGTTCAAATTAGCCCCCAGCAGTAAATGGAGATCAGCACCCAACCAGATTGCGAAGTACGTATGGCTTTAAAAGCTGGAAGGTTGTTGGCCCGGCATCTAATTCTCGCTTTTACTTATCGTATCTATTACTCTGAATCTTACGGGAGGGGTCTGATCTGGATACCACCGGGCTCAAACCCCCCCCCCCCCCCATCACCAACCCTGAAGTACCATATCCATTCGATCACACCCGCCAACCGACGATAAATTGGAATCTATTCAATAGCCCCTCTCATTCAATTCCGCAACGAACTCTCTCGCAAGTTGTCATGCAAACTGAGCTTTAGATGCAATACATAGGAATCTGAAGATCGGTGCCTTCAACCGTGTTATGATATGCAGACTGCTTTCACAGTTTCACACGTAGGCAGTTAAGAATACCTTTAGTACAGTAAGGGTTTGCACTGTTTTTCATAACTAACGTGAATCTCTCTTTGAAATTAATGCTGGGGATGTCATTCATTACTAGATTGGAGCATCCAACAGCATTGATTTGTGATTAAGGGTAAATCCTATTCATCTGGAAATTGGGTTAGATCATGAGCATTTGCTTCTCGCATTGGAATGGGCGTAGGCCCTAAATCTGGCCTTCGTTATCTAGCACCTCCTAGTCTGGGAGCTTGTAGAAGCTTCAGAAATTCACTACAAAGTCTCCAAATTTCGTGTTTTTCCGCTTCCACATGTCAACTACGATACGGTTAGGATCTAATTTCGGATCCAAAGTAGATTATCTGCCGAATAGAAAAGCGTAGCTACTGGGAATTCTTAGTTTGATGGCAATCTGAGTTGCTGATTCAGCCCGATAAATGAGGTATTAGTTGGAAGACTGTAGGTTTTAATTCTTTGCAAAGAAAAGGGAGGACCCACTGGGTGCCGAGGTGGCCTTAGTCCTGGTGTGTTTAGTATAGGCTTGAAGTAGAGAAACAAGTGAATAGATCGGTGGCCACGTACTATGTGATATGGCCCTCCAAGTATGCAGCGATTCTTCACCAAGCAGCACTAATAACCCGATCCTGCTGCAAGACCACACCAAATTTAGGAAAGCGCGGCAGGTAGTTTTGTTCACATTTTCCATGAGCCTCATCAAAAATCGGCCCCGAGAAGAGGTAATTCATCTGCAGTGTGAGTAAAGACTTTGAACGTCCCCACTCTAAACGAAAAAATTGGAGCTAGGATCCTTCTGAGTCTAAGCAAGTCAAATTCGTAGCAATGGAGAGGACATCCAGGGTACCAATCATGAAGACGTATCTGAACTACACCACGCCACCAGAAGCCTGAAGTCATGCAACTGTTGAAAGCGGATATCCAACACAGTATGTTAATCAATCGTTATGGCTTCATTCAAATCCACAGATGGAGACAAACTTTACAAAAACAAGTGTTTTGAAAGTTCACTCTGTGAGGGGTTCTTTTCTAGTTATCTCCGCATTTCCCCCTTCGAAAATCTCATGGCTGCGGCAAGCGGTGTAAAGTGGCAGCGGTACTGCACTAGTTTTTGGATTGCAGCACCACCGTATGCCTCATCAAGTAGATATGCTTTCATTTCATTCACTAGTGTAGTGGTATTTGGGTTGCAAGTAGGCAAATTAAAATAATAATAAGGAAAAAGTTCAACATATAAAAGATCAACATATACCCAAGCTCACATTCTATGATCAATGATAAGTTATGTTTTTATTTTTATTTTTTATTTTTTTTATTTTTATATACAATGATTCTGAGATATGTAAGTTGGCAATAAGAGTATTAGATTGAGTTATCTCTCACATCTAGAATATGATTTTGGACTATTGTAGTTGAGGATCATAAAGAATAGTTATAATAAAATAATAAATGTTATTGTTATTATTATTATTATTATTATTATTATTATTATTACTATTTATTTTATATGTTTTACTATGGAAACATCTTGTATTTCGTTTGGTTAATATATAAATCTAAAATAGTGCACTTGTCTACCATTTAATAAATGTCTATTTTATCCCTTTTCTTCTACAATATAATATACTCTCTATTTAGTGGACATTTAAGGTATTTTTTTAAATTATTAAGATGGATTATGGCAACTCTAATGGTTAGTTTAATAGAAATATAATTATATTTATGTTAATTGAGGTCTTAGTAAAACAATTATGTTTTGTTTTGATTTTTTTGTGTGTATGTAATTTTTTTTCTATTTACTTAACACACTTGACTTTATAGTTTAAATGTTTTAGTATTATTTGATATTTATTACATTATTATTGCATGAGGAATTCAACAAAAAAAATTAAAAAAAAATTAAAATGTATGTGGAATGTTATAAAAGTGATAAATGTAATATAAATCAAGATCATAGAATAAAAAAATAATAAAAAAAAAAATCTTAAAAAATAATAGAAACAAGAATACACAATTTAAAAGTCAATGCAGTTTATTCTTTTATAGGTGGGACAAAAATTAGACAACAAGGAAATTTTAGAATTTAGATATATTAACATAATTAGATAGAATAATACAATCATATTTAGTGGCAATATATAGTTTAAATATAGTAATTTTTTGTATGCTAAAGTATATTATTGCTTGCTTATGTAATAGAATAAAGATATTAGTAGCTTAAGTCTTTATTATTTATAAGCTCAAATGAGAAAGTTTATATAATACATGTAAAAAAAGAAAAAAAGAAAAATTAATAAATGTATTGTAAAATGACATCCAATGATGATACTAAAATTATTCAAAGAATTAAAAGCATTTTGAAAAACATTATAAGACATATTAAGATTGAAATTGTCAAAAAATATTTTACATCAAATAAAAGTCACATTAGGTAAATATCTTCTTTTTGATCATTTCTATTAATATTTAAATTATAAAATTTAAAAATATATTATACCAAATGATATATATATATATATTAAAAAAAGCTCTTTGTCTCATCTTTTTAAAAATATATATTGCATATAAACTTACTATATGTTGTAGGGTTAATCATTCATATAATT